GTTAAAGGAATCGAGAATATAGTGGAGCCTGTACGTAAAAATAAATGAAAAATATAAAACGAAGTCTTTTTTACATGAAATTTCGCTTTCACTGCAATGAAATTTAATGGTTTAAATGTAATTATAAACTAAACTCGAGTGCTGCATGAATTTCGGTTAAATTTTTGCTTCCATCAATTAGCGTCGACAATGGATTAATCCACAGGGATTAATTTCCTGGATTTACTAGGTGTGCTTCGTCCAACAGATATATATGAGGAGTGACAAAAACATGATCTATATATGTGTTTAGTTTTCATTCAAATAAAACATCACACTTGACGCTATTAGTATCATAACTGTATAATAACTAATTGCATGGGTTTTTTTACTTTAAGGGAAATACAATAAATTACCAACGTTGGATTACATATGCAGGAATGTTGTTTTAGAACTCTGATAAATCAGTCTGTATAGTAGTTGTAGAATAATCTCCATCCTAAAATAATAAGTTCTAAAATCATCCTAGACTTACGCAGACATTATTTGAATAATATTGCGACAATCTGATTGTTCCTAAAATAATCCGCAATTAAATTTAATGTTCAAATAATTGTACATTAACTTAATCAAGACGTTAAATTTATTGAGTTTTTCATTTCTTTCTGTTATTTGCTGGTTTTAATGAAAAGGATTTCTATTTATTCTTCTCATTGGATAATTGTCTTTCCAATATTTTCTTTCACGATTAACTTGTTGTATTATACAACAAGGAAGTACTACGAAAACTAATTATTGAATACATTTTATCTTAAGAATTCTGTTATGTGGAATATTTAAGTTGAGGTCACAAATTTAATTAAAAGTTACGTGAAAAAGTTAGTTTCCTTTAATAAAAATAAGGCTGTCACATTAAATTTACTTACAAACAAAATATAAACAAGTACTTACTAATGCCTTTAACATCTATGGTACACTGACTTATCACAAAGCGTAAGTTCTTTTAATGAATAACATATAATTACATAGATAATCTTCAAGATTTTACTTCGCCATTACGGTGATTTTAAAAATCATTTGAAATTTAAATATCATTTTATCATTCAAGAATTACTTCGCGAATTTCGTTTCAACGATGAAATGTTGTTTATTAATCAGAGAATACTAAATTCAGTTATATTCACTATTGTTGCATCAGTTGATCTAATTGCTTCAGCCGTTGATCCCTTAAGCGGTTAGAGCGGATGTATCTGTTGCGCTTAATAAATCGTACAATGGGTTAAATGGATAATAATGTATTCATCACGCATGGCATATCAATCAGTACCACTTTTAGCGGTTCACTAGAAATGCTACAGGAGATTTAGGTATAATGATTATATAAACAATTGATTTTTATGAATATTTCATTGGAACACTGTTCGTGATATCAGAGTAAACTTTCTGAATATATAAAGTGATATCATTATGTTCTAAGTAAATGTATTTTAACATAATTGATTTGAATATTTAATAGACTAAAGCTCTTTCTTGTGCTGTGTAGTATCTATTTTAGTCATGTGAATGCAAAAGTTCTCCTCTATTTCTTAACATGGACAACTAAACATGTTTCAGTAGTACAAATGAGATTCTACATACATTACCATACGCTCGATACAGTTTATTCTCTTTTCTGTCTAATAATTTTAAGAGACTATAATCGGGTTTTGTTTCAACGTAAATTATGTGTAATAATGTAAGTTGAATCATTTTTAATGACATCGATATGTGTTGCCTATATAAATTAAGCAATAGTTCGTAATTGTTTCAGTAATTGTTAGATTGTAATAATTAATAGCAATGAAGTTGGTAATTGTATTATTCCATTGACCTGTATGCATTGTTTAAATAACATGTCAATTAAGACTAAAATTACAAGCGAATGGTGCATCGTTGTTATATTATATGTTTACATGTGGATCATATGAATTTATAGAGGAAGAATCGGCAAGCTAATGGCCCGGTTAATGTATTTACATATAGTAGTTGGTCACAGCACACAGTGCCGAATTTTCACGAAATCCTGCTTATAATGTCCTCAGCTATGTTCATAACAAGATTTTCGCGTTGCAGAATCTGATTTTGATATTATATTTTTATTAAGATAGAAAACTACCCCTATAGAGGGTGTTTTACCTTAAGGAATTCAACATTTATGATTTGATTTAGAATGGGATTTTAAGTAAATAATGTTATGTATTCTTCAAACTCCATGGTTAATGAATTGTTATTAATAAAATTACTTTGACGTAAATTTGATACATCAGAACGTTGTAATCACAAATGGTGAAGAATATAGTAATTTATTAAAATAAATTGCAACAATATAATTCTAAACGAATTATCATTTCTTTTTTTTTATATGTTAAAAATATATTATAAGTATACCATTTCTCAAAGGCTGCAGACAGTAGGGAAATTAAGATTTTTGAGGGAAATATCTGCTTAATCTCGATTGATAGAAAACTTATTGATTAATAAAAATAAAAAACAAAAAACACACAAATAATTTTGAAAAGATAGAATATCATATAAACGTATATCTTATTTAACCTTCTTTGAAACTAATGGTCAGTTGTTTATTTTAATAATTCGCAACGGTTTTCCTGCTTAGCTTGCAATTAACTATTAATCTCAGACTAATTAGTTTCTATTTCTCTTTCTTGTAAAAGTTATAAAAATGCATTTATCGAGATTCTGATAAACTTAGATATTTATTAATATTTATTATTAATATCGAATCATTTAAGAGTTTCCCCGGGAACAAACATATCTTTTCAATAATTATAATAGAAAAGGTCAGAAAATAATCATTTTGGCTCGTTTACGTATTTCTAGTTTTAAAGAATCTATATAAATTAATATCAAAAAAGCAATTAATGAACTGCTTTGTTAATACATCATCATGGAAAATTGTCCGTGCACTTTTTAAATAAAACTTGGCACACATGTAGCAGTCTATTTAAGGGATAATATGGACCAAGCCTCAAGGGGTTCTGTCTTGTGGACCTGTTAATTGCAGCGACGCGTTTTCAAGTTTATGATACGGCAAACGCTAGCGAGCAGTGCTGTCAGAACTCTAAAAAGGCATATATTTACTGTGAAAATGTGCAGTAATAAAACGACTTTCAAACCTTCTCCCTCTGAAAGCTTTCTAGTCTAAAGCTAATTTCATAAAATATATCGTTCGTCGATAATTTTCCAAAATAGTTTTTTCAATCATCCGCATCATAAACTCGATCAATTATCCTAATACGTACTACGAATACTCGACTATTTTTATTGCCAGCGGTAATGGAATCAATTTTCATTTTATATTTTCTATTACTTTTTCCATCGAAATTCGATTTGAAACTTTCAAATGTATGAAACACATTCAATAAAAATGTTGAAATTTGAGCGTTCCTTATGAAGCAGTTTCTGAACATTACGTTTTCAGAATTCCATGGATTTATATCATTTCATCCAAATTCAATGAAACATAGCCATAAATTGTCAAGATAATTATAAAACAGCATATTTACACTGTATCATATGAAAAAATAAAAGTTCATAATATGATAATGTATTTTATAACATGTTTGCTTTTGTAATGTAAATATTTTCTTTAAATTCTCGAAAGATTTACAGATTTACATGGTACAATTAAAAAATGACTTGTGACAATAAAAAGTAATGAATCTTGTTGAAAAAAAATTGTAAATAAATGTAGTCATTTAAATCTTATACTCGAAATTATAATTAATAATCTTCCGTCGTTTTAAAAAATTAATTAAACAATTTTTTGTATCCTTAAGATCGCCTTCATTATTATGTACTGGCATAATTATAAGTCACGCGAATCTCTTCAGCGCACTTCAAATCGCATAATCGGCGAAAGCATTGACACGAAACCTCTAGTAGGTAAAAATCTACCTTGCATGTCTACGAAACATTTGTTTCTGTTTTATTGTTTGCTATGCTGCAGTTGGGGGTAGCTACAAATTTTTAATTATCTACAACCTTTTTCTGTTGAAGGGGATTAATAAATAATATTTTATAAAATTATTGTTAACAGAACATGTTTTTATAACTGATGCCTATGCAACTGTTCTAAAAAATATTTTCATATTTATTACTTACTCGAATCCAGTTTTACTTCTGTTTTACTAAACTTTCAATTGATTCTATGATAAGCAACAGTGATTCAGTTTATTAAGGTATTACTGTATTTTTATTTCAGTTGATATTGCTCTAATCTGAGACTTAATAAGTCTACATATACTCTATAAATCATAAAAATCTTCGAAATATAATTTCCAACATTATGAAAAAGTAATTGTCATATTTTCAACAGAGATATTAATAAAATGGTTCACTTTCTCCTTCGACGTGAATTTAAATTCATAGTATACGTTAAAGTCTGTATGGGGCAAAAAAACATATTTTATAGTGATGTTCCCTTTTACTCTGTTTCTCTAGACCCTAAGCTGCTTATTTATAATAGAGCCGACAATTTATGTAGTATCCAGTACCTCCAGGGCGAGAACGTGACTATATTCACGACGATATCGATGATGAACGTTTTATCAGCAACAATAAATTGTATATATTCTTCCAACCTATCTTAAATATAAATGTCAGGAAGAAAGATAATATCGAAGAAGCTATGGCTCGATAAACCTTAAATCGAACTGGATAATATACGACTCTGCCATTAGTTTTATGTTATCTATTGTTTCTGTATCGTCGTGCATACTGCATTTTCCATCGGAAATGTTCCTGTTGATATAATAAGATACAATAAAAGCACGTTTGCAGAAGTACTTCAAACGAAACTGTATTCTTCCTAATTCTCATGCTATTGTTGTGTTTGTCGATGAAGTTACATATTTTTACTCGTACATACCTTTCCTATTTGATATTAAACAAGTATTAGTACCGTGTAATTACACAATTTTTAGTTGTAATGGAGAAATAAATATATAATCAGTTGAACTTACTTATTTTCAATTTTTCCTTCAGCATCCTCCAGCGTTTATTGCTTTATTTCTCCCAGGCCATTCACGTGTTCTGAAGCATAAGTATAAAATAATCATGTACATATTTAATTCAAAAAAGCAGCATCCATCAAACAACTAATTTTAAAATGAAACCGAATAAAAGAAATATTTTTCATTTATAAGAGAGCAAATTTTTCGACTAAGTAATTATATACTCGATTTTATTTTTCCATGTTATTCATGGTTAATTATCTTTCGTTTACATTCTTCCCATTTAGTCGCTTGCAGTATTATATGAGTGGCTAAGAAATTTGTAACTGATAATACAGTGTTAATTTATAACTCGCTTTAAAGAACTCTTTCTTAAATTACTATTTTTTTTTTCTAAATAAAACATCGCGTCTCTAACAATGATATTTAAATAATGAACTCTCAGAGTTTTATATACTCTGCTAAAACTGTGTTCTAAAAGGCTGTTCAACACCAGTGTATACATTTTTCGTGTACTCGCACAAAAGCTCCTCTCTATGAGAGACACCATTTTTTAAAGTTGCGGAGCTTCACGACGAAGATAAGTTAAGTGGCGATGTGCCACCACATCTAAAGTTTCTAAGAGATGGACTTACTTTTAACACGAGTTATACGTGTGTTCGCTCCCTTTGTACTTTATCGCTAAATATGTATATTATTTACTGACATATCGTGTGACTTACTAATTGATCACAATATCCTATGCATATATACGATGTTGTGTACACACCACTCTACAGTTTTACGTCAACCCACTACTAACCCATACCTTACGAAGTACACAATTGAAAATTTACATAGATTCCGTGTAACGTAAATCTCCGTGCAATTTCATGTTAAACATAAATAAGAACATTTTGAATTTAAGCAAGATATATCAGTTTAAATATAGAATGGGGTTGATACTGCGATTGTATTTTCCGATTGTTTTGATTAATTCCAATATTTTATAATAACAATACCAAAAATCACACTGAGAAAAGAGTGTCTTTCATTCTCATGTAAATACGTTCTTAGAATTCTTAAAATTAGTTCCTGTAATATTAATATCATTTTAACCCTTAATGGACCGGAAGTATTTCAAGTTTACGTATCGCCAAAAAATACCATAATATAGGTAACAAGCGGAAACAAATCCACTGAAGTGACTTAGCACAATAGTCAATGTGTTAATTGTAAATATTACAACAATAACAGCGATTAAAATAATAAAATGATTTTTGAGCGGCGGATATAGCGGCATTGGTCCCATAAGGGTTAATAAGACATTTTACCATTTTATTTGACGCTTTCATATCAATACATGTTTATTTCTCAAGTATTCGTATAATTCTTTTGCATTCGATTCATACTAAATACGAAAGATATTCAACTTTCAATAATGAAAATCATTTTAACATGTACTGGTGTGTATTTATGTAATTATGAATATAAAGATCATATTGAACTCGGATTTAATTGAATTATAAAACAATATTATGGTATATAATGTAATATAACTTACAAGAGTTTGTTTTAATTATCGATCATCAATATGGATCTCGTGTTGTAATATTTTATATTTTTTTTAGTATTTGAAATCATTTTACGAATAGAAGGTAACTTGTTCTATTTATCGAAACTATAAATTATTACTAGCCATTTCATGGGCATTTACACGCTAAACATAACAAACTTGGGATCTATACGCATTAAATTTCAATCATGTCTGGAGAGTTTTAAATGAACGACATATATCACAGTGAACCAGTTCAGTTTAGAAGTCTAAACTTTTCATAAAATAAAAAGTAATTACAGTTACTGAATCTGGGCTAACCGGAAATTTGATTTCAGTGATTAATTCTGAGTCATTTGTTTTAGGAAAAATCTGGCAAATTAAACGGTGTCAGCAGAAAAAAAAGGAGAAGTAGCCTGATTAAAACGAGACTAATGAATATTTCATCGCCTTTCTTTCTTTCCAAACACTAAAAACTCTCGTTTGATCAGTCGTAGCCGACCATTTTAAAAACGATTATTCATCAAACCTTTCCGACTTCTACTCTGGACATTCATAAATTTTATAATAAATTTTCCTCGATGTAAAAATATAAAAAGACGATAGTGTATACAACGCTTAGTTCGTTTTCTCGTTTTAACTTCCGAAAAATGGTAACATTTTAAACATATAAACAACATCCACGACTATAACAAAATGCTAATAAACATCCAAAAACATGATCTCGATTAGTAATTCTAATACTTATACAATTCTTCCTTTATAGACGAGGAAACTATATAAAATGGTAAAGCCAACTAGACACCCTCTAAGTAACCATATTACTTGAAACAGGCATCGATATTTTGATAATTTCAAAAATAATAAAATCTAACGCTATAACTACCAAATGAGTCAAAATGACCCATTCCCAATTTCTTCTTTTATAATTATTGAAAAAGTACAAATTCTTCAAAAAAATGTCCTCTTCTCTACAAATCGTTAAAGAAGCGGATTTAGTTATTTATCTACATTGAAATATAAGCCAATTGAAATCTTAATAAATACATAGTTATAAGTTTTATAAAGAAATTTGGAAAAGTCAGTTTAAGTGCTTGGTCGTTCTAGTGTTAAAAATACATAACCTAATCCCCAAAGTTCTTGGCGAGTATTTGAATGAACAAAGGTTACGATATTGAAAAAACAATTATTTACTTACCTAAAAATTCTTTCATCGCATCACTTAGATCTCTCACTTATTGCAAAATGAGAAGCTTCACTGTGCAACTTTGTATACACTGAGATAACGAAGCACTATGGGAGTAAACCCATTGGGATCATAAACACAAGTTCCTTTCGCGGGCCAGGTCAACTAGGACTCCCCGGGCTAGGGCCGCTTTCAGTATTTCGTATATTTCCAGAAGTGGCCACCAGGGGAAACCAAGTTGGTACCAGACTGCTTTGTATACTATTGAACGACGTGTCACTTTCTCATTATCATAATATCCTTTGTTGACCATTGGCGCGAAATCATAATTTATGGGCTCACAGAATCTACTCTCTCACCAAAGTGTTGCCTCTGAATATATGGTGTGACCCATTTAACTGGAGGTGTCGGAACATCTCATAAACTATACAGAAAATTAAATAATGGTTAGTATGAGGTTGGTACACGTAGTTTCTTCGTACATGCCGCTGTAATTGGTATTTCAAAATGAATTTAACTTTGTTGAATGGAATATGATAAATATTTGTTCACAATATGATAGTGAGTTTAAGAAAAAAAGTAAGGTTATAAGCAAAGCAAGGAAATACGATTAAAGTATTTATATTTATAATTCGTTTAATCTTTCGAACGTGAATATGTATGTATATAATAAAAAATATTTAACCATGCAGATGTATGTGTAGGAATGTACAAAAGCGAACGCATTTTTGTATCTACTGACGTAGACACGTTTTTTAGAGCATAGAATAGGGTTAGATATTTGAATTTAGAGTATTTGCATAATAGAAATGAATGTTGTTGTGCTCTCTTAGAAAATATAATACCGAATAAATAGAAAGAATTATATAATACTTACGTTTGAAGAAAATTGACTAAATTCCCTAGAATTGCCGGCATACAAGTAAACACGAATCAATTAATTATATCTGACAACTAACATAAACAAATCTGTGTCTGTACAACATCGATTTATTGGTTGCAACAAACTCTACAGTAATTCTCTCGTTAAAGACGCCAAGGGAAAACCGCTGTCTGCTCGATCGTGATAATGTGACAAGACCAAAGACAACGATTGACAACTTTCCTTCGGTTTCTAGCGAGATCACTTTACATCATAAGAATATTGAACGAAATGTATATTAATATATAATTTTCTTATTTCTATCATGTGGTACAGCGTACATATAGGTATTAATGAAAAATTCATTGTTTTCTTAAACTATAGTCTGACACTGTAAAATGATGGCTCTTTCCACATCATTTGCCTTCTAAAGGTTCTTTTATCCGCCACCTCAACCCGTCTTTATCCATCGAAAATTCTCGCGTCTAAGATAGCCATATTCTTAAGTAGCCGTGCTGATGGCGTTACCAGCAAATCCAGAATGAAACGCTTCGGTTCGTCTCCCCTTTTCAGATCACTTTTTGTCCTCTATTTTTGCATTTCATTCTAACTTTGAAGACACCGATGTCACCCAGTTTGATCAGTATAACAGGATTCGAATAACTCGCAGCATTTATTTTGTAAAACCTTCGATGTTTTAATTCACACGTTCATTTATTTAGAGGATACGATGTAGCTGTAGCTCGAATGGTGTCTACCTCATTGTTGCCAGAAGTGGAAGCACACGTTTCGAGGACTCATTTCGCGGATAAAATATATTTCATTGAATGAAATGGTATTCATATCTGAAAGTTGCCATCCCTTAAACTCAATGCATAAACCAGTGGAAAAAGTTGCAGTAGCACAGCAGCGCACAAAGTTGAATATCATTATGTAAAGTTCATTAAAAGCAATTCCCTACTCTAGTGGGAATCCACGGCGAACGGCTCCCATCGGTTCCAGCTCAGGAGGAGCAACCTTCTAGCCACGGCATTAAACTTATCCAACTTCATCCCCTGCCTTATTGCCGTCGTTTCTTCCCGCAGTCTTTACCCCTCCCCTCTTGCAGAGTTAAAAAGTTCTAGTAGCTTTATCTATCCGACCTCTAGTTGTTCTTCCTCGCTTCATGCTCTTCTGTTTTGCTTCTTCGTTCGCCTCATTTTTCTTCCTTCGTTCGTCCAATCTTCTTGCCACCGTTCTTTCGTTTTTTTTCTACGAACTTCTTCATCTTTTCCTTTTTTTTCGGTTAACGACGTCTGCGCGTGATTTAACCGATCTCATCGAGTGAACTTAGTAACTTGCAAGAGATCGGCGAACGTTGACTGAACGTGTGAAGATATTTCAAGTCAAATTTATGGTAACTACTTTCTCGGTGAACAGATCATTTATAGAGTAATTTTCGTACATTGTATTAACTTGCATATTAATATTACAAAACTATCTCGTGGTATGAGAACTATAAGGTGAAAATTTAATGCCTAGATCTGCATTTAAAGAAGATGGGGCCTCCTCCATAAGTCTAAGCTGAATTTGCAAGATGTTCTGAAGCTACATTAAAGGATGAAAGGGATGTGAAGTGAGTTGTAACTTTTTTTTCTTGTTGTTTCTTCTAGTCTTTTACATATTCAGCATAATAAACATAATAATTGCATAATAATTACATAATAATTACTAATAATACTACATAATAATTTCGACAATAATCTCGAATAGATTGATCTTCTATTTTAGCTCTATTTAACCGTTTGAATTTACATTCAATTTGCATTTCGTTTTTAAGCTGAAATGAGTATCAAATTTTTCCACCCTCTGAAAGAAATTTTGTTCAGCTTGAAAGTTTCATTTTTCACAAAACCATAAAACTTCGTGAAGATTTTTCCTTGCCGTAACGCTTAAAAATACTTCTTTTATAATTTTTCATATACGTTTTTATTTTGTTTAATCTTTATTCTCATACCAATAATTTCTTGTGACAACATTGCAGAATGCAACAGCAACTTTAACGAGATATTTTAGTGGAAAAATATACATTTCGCACTTATGCCATGTCATGTTGTGCAAACTTTCATTAGCATTTCCTGTAAGATATTCTGTGCACCGAGATTTTTCGTCGCTTATACACAGTGTCCTACGTGTAATCGATCATCTTAACATCTCCTTTATTTATAATGTACAGAAGATAAAAATGTTCCAAATACAGTCTCAATAGTTTTAGGAAACGAGTATCTTAAATCAAAAACTCATTTTAATTGATATTAATACAAAGGTAAATTTTAAAATGTTTACCTTTTTTGTATTTTGCTTGGATCCTTGGCATATATTTTTGACGAAAAGTATACACTTCTAAGGAAAATAATTAAATTCTTAAGCACTGTTTAAATGGTACATTAACTTACTGTACATGCCTAATATTGGAATTAGGTAGAACACCTCGTATATTGATATTTAGTCGAATAATTCCACCCTTATAGGTATCCCTATGTTTTAATCATGAGGATCAGGTTTTCGTAATAGTGAAAAAAACTGACAGAAACAGCAGACATTTTTTTAAAAAACTTTCGTAATATTATACTTTCACATATGTCAAAAATGTCTAGTATATAATAACAGTTTCGTAAATAATGTTTAAAATGTTACATTGCTTTTATTCCATGATGTAATCTTCTTTGTAATTGTTTGCTAAATAATCTAATTTATATTCTTCACTCTTCTTTTTAAATTTTTATTCTTTTAAAATAATTTTAAATGTAAACTGTAAATTCAGAGATGAAAACTGATTCATTTTACAACTTTGGATTATCTCAAGATCATTTAAAAGACATATACTGAATTTTTTACGGTACCTTCATAGTATCAAATAAAAAATGTAGCGCTACAATACGAAAAAACGAGATGATATATAAAAATATTGAAGATGAAGAATTTTTCTTTCCACTGTGACATACTTCCTAAAATATGACGATAAAATCTCTTTAGACTTTTATCTTATCATATAAAGAAAGTTAAATAATACATAAATGAATTAAGTAATTAGTTCTTTTCCATCTAAGTAATTTCATGGCTCGTCTGAAGCATCGCAGTACCATTCCGTGGCTATCTGTTTTGGCACAGTAATTATATTGTTTCCACATTCTGCACCAGCTGCTCCGAACCAGTCACTCAAGAAAGTTGACCGAGTTGCTTGTCCTTCTAGTTAACAGAGTAATTATGTAATGAACTTGATAACATTGAAGTACGCAATTGCAATCTGTTCGTCCGTAAAAATTATCGATTGCATCGTACACAGTCAGGTTCTGGTAGAAATTAACAAGAATAATGAGGATCCCAGCAGAAAAAACCACTGCAATCGATTATTAATAAGTAGAATATATTAATTGAAGCAAAGTAATCTTTTAATACATTTCGCGTTCGAACTTATCGACGAGCTGAAATCAACGCAGAGATTGGAAATCAATTTTAACGTAATCATTGCACAGAAATATGAAATTACCATAGATGAAGCTGTGTCGTTTTAAATACGACTTATTAAATTTAACCTCTAACAAATTATCACATTAATAAAATATAAATGAAACCTTTACAACTGTATTAGTTCAAATAAAGTTCTAATTACTACTAACAAAGAGTAATAATGAAATATTCCATATTTGATGAGCTGGAAAGTAATCACAAAACGCAAAGAACAGGATCAGATTATGTAAACCGTCTTTAAGTCATTATTGTTTCTTAAAATCTAATTACGCCAGTATGCAAAGTAATTTCAATGTTGTAGAATTTAAAAAATAGTAAAGGGAACGATACATATTGTTAGAACGAAAATGTAACTCTGAAATTTTACTATAACATAAAACGAATTGGTCAATGAACTTAATATAGATTTTTCAAGCAAAAGTTTTATATTTACTACAACGCAATAAATGAAAATTCAATCCTGTGAGTCTGAACAGAAATATAATTCCAATCTTACTGTGAGATCGTCACAGAAACAGGAATTTCAAAACTGCTTCAAAAAGTAAGGATACTGATATTCATAATTTTTGAAAATTATTAATAAAAACCTCAATAGTTCAACATTTTTGCTAGTACAAAACTTTCTTGGGTAGTAGAGATGATAGATGTAACAAGGGAAAACTTTTTTGACGAAAGTACACTATAAAGAAGCAAAGTCAATCCGTAAAGTTTTCTGGTCTGTCTGGGAAAAAGTTTATTTGATACTGTATGATATAAAATAAAGTTTTAAGGGCAAGGAGAGGGCAGTTT